GAACAATGGAAAATACAAATGTATATCATTACTCTTATATACTATAGAACATAAATAATATGTACAGCAAAAGAGGATGTTTTTAAAGTGCTCTGATATTTCTGAGAATGGAATGATTAATAATTCTGTCCTTAAGGATTAAAGAAAGCTTTGGAAAGTAGGTGGTATTTGAACTGAAACATGCAGTATGGGAAACATTTCAAATGTGAATGAAGAAGTTTGTGTGCATTTTGTGGGGGGAAGGTGACTTCCGGGTGCAGTAGAGTCTTAGCAAATCACTAGTAACTGGTATGCAGTTTGCTTCTGGTTGTGAATCTGCAAAGGATGGATTGGTTCTATAGTAGACTACAAATGGCCACAAATCCTTTGTTGCTCCTCCCATTAAGAGGTATAGTGTATTTCCATATCCCTTGAATTTGAAATGACTTGCTTTGACCAAAAGAATGTAGGGTAAGTGATGTTGTATGAGTTTGGAGCCAGGCCTCGAGATCCTTGCAACCTCCTGTCTTACATTCTTGGAACAACCAAGTGTGAACAAATCTCAGTCAGATATCTGGAGAGGATATGTAGAGAATTGAGGCACCTTGATTGAAACCTGTCAATGCCAAATATGGAGTGAGACCATTATAGTTTATTTGACCACTGACAAATTATCAGTAGATTGTCCAGATGAGTCAGCCCACGTGAGATCAGTGCAAGGACAGCCCAGCTGATCTCAGTCAAGATTGCCGATTCTCAGAATCATGAGCTGATAAATGGTTGTTGTTTTTTTAAGCCACTAAGTTTTGGAAGTGGTCTATTGTCAAACAAAGGTAAATTGATATGAAACCACTTTATTGAGGACCTATAATGTGATACTAAAGTTTTTGGATTTTATTTTCAAAAAGTGGGGGACTTCGATATACTATCAATGAACAGGGGAATTTGAAATTAAAAACACATTACCATTGGGCTTCCCTGGTGGCGCAGTGCTTGAGAGTCCGCCTGCCGATGCAGGAGACGCGGGTTCGTGCCCCGTTTCGGGAGGATCCCACATGCCGCGGAGCGGCTGGGCCCGTGAGCCATGGCCGCTGGGCCTGCGCGTCCGGAGCCTGTGCTCCGCAAATGGGAGAGGCCACGACAGTGAGAGGCCC